GTGCCGCCGCACCCCGGCCTGGGCACAGAGTGAGACGGTGACTCAGACAAGTCTGAGAGCCGAGCACCAAGGCCTGGCCTAGCTCTCCTGGCACCGAGGCCAGTACAGGGCGGGCGGCCGTGGCGCTGCCCTGGGCTTGGCCTGAACTGTAGAGCGTGCCTTCCAGAAGGCCCCGGTGTGCAGAGGGCTTCGGGCTCCCAGGCACACACCCTCGGCTCCGACCTGATGGCCGTGTGAGCCGGGTCACCAGCCTCTGGCCAGCCCCGGGCGTGTGGCCCACCTGCCTTTGCCCACTCCTGCCCCCACCTCAACGCTGTCACCCGGCTCCCCCGGCCGGGACCCCGGCCTTGCTCCTTCGCTCCAGCCGAGGGGATTGTGCCGATTTCGTGGTGGCAGCGAATGGGGCCTGAGGCATGAGGGCAGGAACCCGAGTAAGGGGTATCTCCAGTGTGTAAGGAGACTTCCTTGTGCTTCCCACTCCCCAGGAAGGACGCTCGTCGGAACGTTAGAGCCTCCATCCCAATCTGATTATTTCAGAAAACGTTTCGGTGGCATCACATAATCCAGGGACGTGCACAGACTCTAACCGTTCGCCTCCGTGAATGCCCACAAAGCAGACGCACTGTGTCCCCAGCCCCACATACAGAAACACCACCCCTCACCCTCAGCTGTTGCATTGAAGTCACCTGCCAGTTCCCAGTCAGAAAAACATCCCACGGCCGGCCGCAGTGGCTCATGCTTGCAATCCCCGCACTTTGGGAGGCGGAGGCGGGAGGACTGCCTGATCCCGGGAGTTTGAGACCAGCCTGGGCACATGGCAAGACCTCGTCTCTGCAGTAAATTAAAAAATGAGCCAGGTGTGGTGGTGGTACTCCTGTACGCCCAGCCACTTGGAAGGCTGAGGTGGGGGGAACACCTGAGCTCAGCAGGTCAAGGGAACCGTGAGACCTGATCGTGCCACTGCACTCCAGCCTGGGTAACAGAGTGAGATTCCGACATCAAAAAGAATCCCATGAGCATCCGCCCTATATCCAGTACTGTTAGCTGCTCTGGGGAACCCAGATAAGGACCCAATACAGCCCCGGCCTGGGGCCTCCTAGCTTGGAGTTACAAGAACAAAAATTAGCAAACAGGGCAACCAGAGAACATTTAAGCACCAGATCGCAGCTAAATGTCGAGGAAGAACTCTACACCTGGTGAGCAGGGGTGGCCTTGGGACAGCGTTTCACCAGAGAAGTGCTTGATCTGGGGATGTTGTAGGTTTGCTGTCCCTAAGACTCCCGCCCCCACCTGTCCTGATGGTGTCTCCTCTGATTCTTCGCCAGGTGCTCCCAGCTCTGTTGGTGGGAATACAGCCTTCAGGGGTTATCGGACTGGTCCCTCACCTCAGGGACCGGGAGAAGAGAGACAGTCTGTGTCCCCAGGGAAAATATAGCCACCCTCAGAATAATTCCATTTGCTGTACCAAGTGTCACAAAGGTAGGAGAAAGAGGAGACCGTGAACACCTCCTAAACACCCCCCACCCCATCCCAGTGGTGGGGCCTGCTTCTTCTTTTGCTTGTTCCAGATGTGTCCTAACTTCACTGCCTCTCCTGGGCTGGGATTCTCGCCTTCCTTCCTCACCTGGAGACTTCAGGGGGCTGCCCTGCTTGTCCTCCCTGGCTTAGGGCCCCTCCCTTAGCGCTCACCCGCGGCCTAACCCTCCATCCCATTCACAGGCACCTACTTGTACGATGACTGTCCAAGCCCCGGAAGGGACACAGACTGCAGGGAGTGTGAACCCGGCTCCTTTACAGCCTCAGAGAACTACCTCAGACAATGCCTCAGCTGCTCCAAGTGTCGCGAAGGTGAGTGTGCAGGGGCTGGAGCGTCAGGTGGGTCTCAGCTGGGGCCCGTGGGCCTGTGCCCGTGCGAGGGCATGAGCCCACGCCAGTGGGCCGGAGTGTGTGTGCCTGTGCGGGTGAGTGCGCACGGGCGTGAGCCTGCCTTCCAGAGACGGACACGCGCTTGGGGCGGCGTCAGGAACGGTTAGTGTGGAGAGGGGGTGTGATGTGGGACTCATCCCCCGTCTTCCTCCCTCGCCAGAAATGGGCCAGGTGGAGATTTCTCCCTGCACGGTGGACCGTGATATCGTGTGTGGCTGCAGGGAGGACCAGTACCGGCATTACTGGGGTGAAAACCGCTTCCAGTGCGTCAACTGCAGCCTCTGCCTCAATGGCCGGGTGAATCACCCCTGTGAGCGTGGCTTTCTCCCTGCCCTGGGTGTCGGCCCGTGTCTCTCTCCCTGTCTCTTTCTCTCAAGGTCGGCCCTTTCTTTCCCTCCCGCTCCTGCTCCCATAGGCTGTGGGTCTGAGGACCAACTCCTCTTTGGCCACCGCCACCTGCCCCTCCCCGGTTCCTTTGTCCTCGTCCTCATCCTTGTCGGGGTGTGCAGGGTGCGCCTCCCTTAGCGGTTCCTCACTTCCCACAGGTCAGGAGAGACTGGACACCGTGTGTACCTGCCATGCAGGGTTCTTTCTGAGAGGAAAGGAGTGTGTCTCCTGCAGTGAGTGAGTCACCGGACTGGGCGGGGGGCGGGCAGGGACTGTGGGGGGCGGCTGTGGGTGAGAGCCACTAACACCCCACAGTGCCCAGGCTCCTGTGGCTGTCTGAGTAGGAGACACTTCGTTCAGACCCCAGACAGCTCTTCCTCCTGCTGCTTAACCTGTTCCTCAAATCAAGAAGCTTTGGGGGCCGGGCACGGTGGCTCACGCCTATGGTCCCAGCACTTTGGGAGGCCGACGCGACAGGATTGCCCGAACCCACCGGTTCGAGACCAGCCTGGGCAACTTGGGGAGACCTCATCTCCTCAGCAAATCGAAAAAGTTAGCTGGGCATGGTGGCGCGTGCCTGTAGTTCTAGCTACTTGGAAGGCTGAGGCAGAAGGATTGCCTGAGCCCAGCAGGTCGAGGCTGTGGTGTGGCGTTGAGTGTGCTACTGCACTCCAGCCTAGGTGACAGAGTGGGACTCCAATTCAGAAAAAAAAAGAAGTTTTGGGGGATGATTCTACACCAAGGACTTGCAGTCCTTCCTAGATATTCAGATTCTTGGGCAACAGGGTCTCTACAGTTCTTTGATTCTAGGACACATGCCTCCACATCTCTGAAATCAGGCTGCATCTTCCAACAATGGGTGATGTGTCGTGGCCAAACGGGCAGCTTTGCGTGTATGTGTATGTTACGTAAAGAATGATGCTGTCTTAAGCATCTTAGGTTTCATGCAACATGGTATTTCCTCCCCAGTCCCTTTGGCCAGGACATCTCACTCCTGGCCCCATAGAAGCTGTTTCTGCACGCTTGCTTGCAAAGAGTCCTGAGGGCTTTCAGCCTAGGACAGACCTGGGTTTAAACCCTAGCTGCTAACTGGCTGTGTGACCTTGGGCAAGTTAGTATCTCTGAGCCCTACTTTAATTCTATAAACTTTTTTTTGAGTCAGGGTCTCACTGTGTCACTCAGACTGGAGTACAGTGGCACTGTCACGGCTCACTGAATTTTTATGAAGAAAAGGTCTTGCTATGTTGTCCAGGCTGGTTCCAAACTGCTTGGCTCGAGTAATTCTCCCAACTCAGCCTCCCAAACTGCACCTGGCTACTTTTCTTACTTTCAAAGTAAGGACAGTGATACTCATTTGGCGACATCGTGAGAACCACAAAAACACCTACGAAGTGACTGACACAAAGCTATTGATTTTGGTTGTTTTTTTTTCCCACCAAGCTTTGTCTCTTCTTGACAGTGCTTCTACATCCATCCCATGTGGTTCTCACCATGAGCTTGGAGGTGGGCCCAAAAAAGCGTCTCCTTGCTTCCAGAACGCTGCTGAGAACCCGCCTTCTCAAGCTCCTTCCGGCACCTGCCACCCCCCATTCCTCACCCCACCATGTGCTTCTCATGCTCCACACTGTCCAGAGTCCACGGCCAACATGGACGGTGTGCTGGCTTCATGGCGTGCTCTCTGGCTGCCCCTAGTGATACATATTCTCACATTTTTCACATGCATGTGTGCCCTCCCTTCCCGGAGTCAGGTATGTAACTTGCAGGGTCACTTGAGAAAAGCCCTTTGCCCTCTCTTTTGCCACAGAGTTCTTATCAGCAAAACAATGATTTTTAAAAAAACCTCAAGGCCGGACTCGGTGGCTTAGCCTGTCATCCCAGCACTTTGGGAGGCCGAGGGGAGAGAATGGCTTGAGTCCAGGGGTTTGAGACCAGCCCACGCAACTTGGCGAGACCTCATCTCTACAATAAATCAAAAATTAGCCAGGCCTGGTAGCGCG